ATAGCGGAACATGTACCAGCAATACTTCCAGGCGGCGTCAAAGTCTTGCCTGGTTTTGCGTGTCGCTGCCTGCTGGGCTGGCTCCTCGCTCGCCTCGCTCGCCTCGCTCGCCTCGCTAGCCTCTTCCTTTCCCCCTTGCTCTTTTGCGACTAATCGTTGGGAAAGAGCGACATTAGTGGGCCGAGCGACAGTGCCGAGTGACATTTAAAAACGAAAAAAAGAATAAATAAAGAGCAACCACTATACCTTTTCTTTGCGTGAGCTCCGACTCGGCCTCGCTGTTATCTGCCATTTTTCATACGCGCACCGAGAGAGCAGGCGCGAAACTGCTGTCAAAACAGAGACGCGCAATAGTTAAAGCTTTTTTTCAAAATGAAAAATATATTTGTCGTGGAGGTGATGTGAGTCGTGGGCGTGATGCATATGCATTTAACCGGCGCTCGAATAAAAATGGAAAAGTAAGCTGTCATCGATAAATCATTTAGGAAAACGTTGGTCTGACGTTGTCCGAAGGAGCGGCGGGGGCAGGGGACCGGGCCGTCAGCTGAAAAAATAGCCCCGAGAGGTCGACGAGTATGGGAGGCTGGCGATCGAGCGAGCTCCGTGAACGCGAGCCGCGATTACGGCAGCGCGCTAATTACGTATCTGGCAATGCGTGTATAGGACCGAGAGAAGGGGCAGAGGCCGCGCACGGGATTCATCCTGGTCACGGCGCGGATCGATGGGCGGCTGCCCTCTCTCTCTCTCGCACAGGCGTGCGGCTGGCCGACGATAAGTGGCGGCCTCGGCGATTATCTTCCTTTTGACGAGGGAATCGCAGTGGCTCGTAAAGCGCCGAGAAGCCCCGGCTAGCCGGCAGCGGCCCTCGGCCCTCCCTGCCGCCCGTTCTCTTTCTTTTAATATCGAGCCGCCGGCCATTGCCAACCCAGTCACGACTTTCCAGATTTGCCCCATCAGAATCAATCATCCGCTGATTCTCTTCCAAGTAGTTGATTAAATCTTCGATTCGCGTCGATCGCCCTTGCGCCAGTTTTCGCTCGCTTTATCACTGGAGGCAAGCGAGCGCGGTCGGAATGTCAATGCGCATCGTGGCGCTGGCTGGCGATGGCGAGTGGCTCGAGTCATTGCCGCTGCTTTGCCGACGTCGCTCCGAAGACGCAGCAGCCTCGGCGCTCGGCCCCAGCGCCGCCGCTTATCGCTCGGCGCGAACGCGATATCGAGCCAGCGACCTCCGCGAACAGCCGCGTTGGCAACGTAGGTTAGAGCCGACAGACGCTGCCGACGGCGTTTCCAGCTGCTGCTCGCCTAGCCGCGGTGCCGTCCGCCCGAAATTTCGCGTACAGCAGCCGGCGCGCAGACGCCCGGCAGAGCCACGTATACACGCCCGGAGCCGGCGAGCGGCGACGGCCGACCAGACGTGAAAAAGTGCAACGCACGCGCGACTGACGAAACGGATCGCACGGAAAAATCGGGCGAAGGAAGCGAGGGCGATAAATCGCGGCGGCGGCGGCGGCCACCTAACGAAGCGCGCTACTTCGCCCGGTCGGCCGATCGACTGGCTGACCAGGCCGACGAACGCGCACGAGCACTGCGCGGCCGAGCGATATTTACCATTCGATTGCTTAGCAGCGGCGACAACTGACGCGCTCAAGGCGAGCGCCAGCTCGGCGAGCTGGCTTTAATCTTTACTTCGATCTCCCGGGCAGAGGTGGGGAGCTGCGCTCTCGAGTGGGAGTCGGCCGCCACTTCTCTCGCCGGCTTAATTACTCCGTCGATAGCGCGTACGTTCGTGGCAGGATCGCGCCGAACTTGACCGAATCAGTCGAGGCATGCGACGTAAATCGGTCGCGATCCGTGATCAGCGTGAAAAAGACCCGCGAGTAGACGGTAAATCGCTAATCCCGATTTGCGATCGGCTCCCGGATAATCCCGCTAATTGCACGTCACTCGCGGCCACTGTCGCATTTTATCCGACAGCGCTGCCGCTAACGATTCGACTGCGTCGCAACATTGTCGGTCGCGTCACTCAGGAGTCGGAATTTTTTGAGCGCCGTCGTCTCTGCAATGACAGCTAGCGCAGGTAGGATTTGTCAGATGCCTTGAGAGTTTGGCGCGCTCCAAACTTTGTTATGCAATTGTCTATCTCGCAATCAGTATCGGTCCAGTGCGGCGAACTGCTTGCCCGACACTTTTCACCGTGCGAGGCAGTCGTTCAACCTCGTCCATTTGGCCTCTGACCCGCGAGCACTGTAAGCTCCGTACTCCGCGGATACGTCGTCGCCACGTCGGCGCTAGCTGCGCCGAACGTCGGAGTCCGACAGTCCGTGGCGAGGATTGCGCAGTGGGCGGCGGGGGCAAGTTGGTCGAATATGCAAATGCGCGCGGTAGTGTCCACTCGGCGCGGTGGGGCCGGAGCGGCGCGTCAAATATTCATCGCGCGTTTTCAAGTTTGGCCGGGCCGTCGAGTCTTTTGTTGGCGAAAATCTGGTTAGCGGCGCTGCGCGGCCGAGCGCGGCTATCCGGCATTCTCTTTGGGCGTCGTCGAGCCGCCGGGGAGTCGTTAATGTATACGGCGGCGTTAATCCGCGAAGCTTTTCCGCGGCGGTGCGGAGCAGTCAGGCCTGTCGATCGGTCGGTGCGCTTGCGAAAAGCAGCGGGAATAATTCCTTTTGCGCGCGAGGCGCCACTGGCTGGTGAGCTCTCGAGCGTTTACTCGGCCATTACACGCGGCCAATTTGCATATTGCAGCGCTCGGCGAGGGCCGTTTGTTCGGTTATCGGCGTGTAACTTGCTCGGCCGCTCCTCCTTTTACTCTTGATATTAGACGCGAAACTTGCCCATAATCCCGCGGCCCCGCAACCTGCGAGAGAGCCAGCGGATCTCTCGCTCTCTCGGTCGCTTGTTTTCGTTCGAGAACAGAGAGAGAGAGAGAGAGAGCGAGAGAGACTATAGATATACGGCGTCGTACATACATTATCCGATTAGTCTTGCGCGCCGAGCTCCCTTTATGTATGCCAAGGTGGCGGGGCTGAACGTGGGGGCCAGCCGAGCATCCGAATAAATTGCACGGCCAAAGGCTTTTCAGGCACAAAGCGGCTGGAGCGCCCCATCCAACAATTAATCTCGTAATGAGCGTGTTCTTCGCGCTCGTTTACACTGCCATTCAATTTGGCTGCCGAGGCTTGTTTCCTCCCCCGCCGCTCTTTGCGCCCTCGCGCGCGCGCGCCCCCGCGGCTTTTTATCTCGAGTAGGGGCCCCCCGCGCCGCCGCGTCGACGACGATCCCCGAGCGCCGCACGCACTCGCGTCGAGGCGTGCTCGCGCCCGCTTCTCGCGACTTGGCAGCTGCTGACTCGAGAGGCTGTCACGTCCCCGCGCGATCGCTCGTTGTCGACGTCGACGACGTCGCCGCCGCCGCAAGTATTCAGCCCGCGCTGCTCGAGTAGTCGTCAAGAGCGCGGGGCTGCCAGCCTCGGCTGCGGCGTGCGCCAAGCGTAATCGAGTGGCTCGTGCTCGATTTTTAATAGGCCGCGCGCGACTCGACGTCTCGCTGCGCGGTGGGGCCGAGAGCGGCCGAGAGGGGGCGGCAACCTTCGTTGCCGCCGGCGCCGGCGCTGCATCCGCAGGCCGGGACGAACGTAGACACTTATCAGCGAGAACGAGCTGCGCTCGGCAGATCGAATGGCCCATATCCGAGGAAATTAGAGGATTGAGGCGCGGAGGCGCGGCCCTCGTAACGAGCGCGCATGAATGCAGGCGGCTCCCGGGCCGCAATTAATTTCGATAAGGCTGCGTGCAGCTGAGTGGCAAAAAAGAGGATCGCGCGAGCTGCCTCCGCGACCCGCGCGCATCAATTACGAGGCCGGTCTGCCCGACTTGGCGAGGCGGATCGATGACCGAGGCGAGCGTCCCCGTGCAGTCGACCGGCGCGAGCCGAGAAGCCGCGACGAGCTGCCGGCGCGACTGACAAAAACGAGCGCGCGGCGCGGAAAGTTGGGTCGCGGCCGACGGAGGCCAAGAGCCGGCGATCGGCAGCGGCCCGAGTTACGCGCCAACTTGAGCGATAAATATGGGAAGCGAGTGCACGTATAACGGACGCGAGCAGCGTGTGCCTTGGAGGGGGCGGAAAAACAAGAAGAGAGTGAAAAAACGACGACGCGGCAACAAGCGGAGGACGCGCGCGGTAACGAATGGCGATTGGACTTGTTGCGAGCAGCACAGTGGCGCGCGCGAATAAATAACTCGGGCCGTGGAGCCGCGCACTGGCAGCCGGGCGTGCGCGCGCCCGCGCGCGCGACACAATCGTAAAGCTGAATTATGTTTTATCACCGAGCGCCGCAGACACGGCCTGCCGCGTCTCCGTCGCCCCCGCGGCTGCGTGTCGAGCGGCGCCAATTGACCGTCGGCGCCTTTTTGCGCCCGCGCGCGGGCCCCGCGGGAGAAGCCCGCGGAGCTGACGCGCCGTCCAGGCATTAACGCGGGCGCGGAAGGGGCGATCCATTAGCCGCGCGCCGGCAGCCGGGCCAATCAGCGAGTTGAAAAGTGCTCTTTATCCATGGGCTCGCCGGCAGGACGAAAGTTATAACGAAGCCCTTTGTCGGTTATGGGCTTTGGCGGGAGCGCGCGGCCAAGTTGCGATTGTCGGCGGCGTCGTCGCGCGAGCAAATTGAATTATTGTCGCGGCGCGCTCGTTTCTCGGCCAATTTGCATGCAAAGTCGTGGCTCGCGGCGCAAGGAGTCGCCCGCGCCGACTTGCCCGCCGGATTAAAACTTTGGATTGCCGCGCGGACTCGCCGCGGCCGACGGAGGTGCGCGCGCCGCCGCGCCTCGCATTTCCATTTAGACGGACTCGCCGCGCCGCGGCTGATCAAGGAAAGGCGCACCACCAGCTCGTCTCTCAGAAACAGCACTTTATTTGAACAGCGCTCGAGCCGCACATAAGACATCCGCAGAGCCTGGACGCCCGACGCTCCCGCTGCCGCTGGAGGTGTGCGGCGCGGCCCGGCTCAGTCGACCTCGAGCTTGCGGAACGAGCCGGCGAACCCGAAGAGGTCGTCGGCGTTGACGGTCGGCCCGGGGCGCAGCTCCTCGTCGACCAGCAGCCGCTCCTGCTCGAGGAACCAGTCCCTCCACTCGGCCAGCTTCTCCTGCCACCGGCCTGCAAGCGCAGCAGAGAGGCGCAGCGTTAGGTGGGGCGGCGCGCGAGGCACTGGACTCGCGAGCCAACTGACCGTCGAGCTCGTCCATCGAGGGCTGCTCGCCGCCGTAGTCGGCCGGTAGCACGGCCCTGGGCACCGACTCGTACAAGGATTGCAGACCCGAGGAGTGCACGTGTACCTGCGCGCGTCACAACGGACAATGAGTGCTGCGGAAAGGGCGGAAAGGTCCGAGCGCGGACGATAGGCGAATTACCCTGGCGGCCAGCTTGGGCTTGATGGCCGACTTGACGAGCGCGACGATGCGGTCGATGAAGCCGGGTGCGTTGACGAAGTGGATGCCCTTGATGCGCGCGCCGTAGGCCTTCTGCAACAGCAACAACGGCGCAGGCGGTGAGAGACGGCGAGCACGGCCGCGAGAGCGCGCCGACCTACCGTGGCGGCGACCTCGCACTTCTTCAGGACGGCCGGAGTGAGCTTGGCGAGGTGGCCGAGGCGCATGGCCTGCAGGTCGTAAATGTAAATGTCGCCGAGGCTGCGGCACTCGGAGATGCGGACGTCGCCCACCATGAAGCTGTACCTGTGCCCGCGAAAAGCGATTTAGTCCCCGGCGCTGCCCAAATTGACCACTAGCCGTAAAGCTTTATCGCCGTCTCCCCGTGCCGTCGCGACTATCCGATCGACGCTCGCTGCGCGCCGGCTTTCTCCCGATCTCGCTCTCGATATCGCCCCGGCGCTCGAGGTAATTAACGCTTTCTTCGTTGCCCGAACGATGCCCATCGCCGTTAGCTCGGCGCTATCGCTGCTCCGCTCCGCTCTTATTGACGACTGCCGACTGCCGCTGCCGAGGGGCCGGAAAACCCCGGACGGAGGACGACGCGTCCGCGCGGGGCTTACTTGAAAAAGTCCCAGGGCTGGAACTTGGAGGCGTCCTCGTTGATGGAGCGCAGGATCGAGACCCTGTAGCGTTCCGGCGTGAGCTTCGGCAGACACACCCACTGGCTGCGAATCAGAGCGGCATTAGTGCGGCGCGGGCGAAGGCGGGAGCCGAGCGGCGCGTACGTACAGGGTGTCGGGGAGGCGCGCCAGCGCCTGGCCCAGGGGATCGCGCTCGGCGAACAGCTCGGGCACGAGGCGCCTCACCGTGTAGTACGCGTCGAGCTTCTGCTTGGCCAGCTCCAGACTGTGCTTCGTGCTGATGACGAAGTACTCCAATCTGCGCTCCGGCATGTCTGCGGCAGCGAGCGGCGCGGCCTTAGCCTCGGTGAACGGCCGACGCGGCGGCGCCAGAAGGACGCGCTGGCTTACCTTGCGGCAGGTGCGGCTGCTGCCGTAGCCAGTCCCGCAGCTTGGCGCACTGCTCGGCCAGCAGCTCGACGCTCCCGGCCGTGTGCGCGCACAGCTCCTCGGTGCTGCACGACTCCAACAGCTGAGCGTCCATGGTGCTCTCGCTCTCGATCTGCCGCCTCTCCACGGCTGCGTGACTGCGGGTCAGCGGCGCGAGCGGCGCGAGCGGACTGAGCGCCAGCTCCTCGGCGATCTCGGCCCGCGGCGCCAATCACCGCCACTCCGTCGCGCTCGGCACTGCTCACGCCGACGTCACGCGCCGCGCCGGACTCGGTACTGGGGACGTGCTCGCCATGCCGAGTAGACGATCTATCGGCCTGCTCGACTTTGTCAATCTTGCGCATTGTAATTGTTGCCCGCGCTCCGCCGTTCGCGTCTCCGTTTTTGCGCCGGCATGCCGCGGAGACATCGGGACTTTATCGGGATGTCGAGCACGCGCCAGCAGCCCCGGCTCGTTGCCTCATTTGCATATCAAGGCTTTTGACCGCGCTCCTCCCAGCCAACCTCGAGGAATCACGCTCCGAAGTGCTCGCGTGAGCGCTTTTACAAGTTGGCCGCTCGCTCGCGCTTCTTGTCGTCGTCGTCGTCGTCGTCGTCGTCGTCGTCGTCGTCGTTTTAGCTCCGCGGAGCCGGGCCTAGGCATTCCGATAGCTCGCGTCGTGCTCTCTGCGACTGCTTATGATCCGGGGCGCGCTTCCTCAAACAGACCGAGAAGCGCGACGGCGAAGCGGAGCGTAAAAATGCCGCGAGCGGCAGGTTCGCGAAGCATTTGCCCGACGCGCTTCGACGGCTCGCCGACGCTTCTCTCCGTTCGCGCGTTGGCCGCTGTCGCATTGTCTTGCGCCGCTCACGCAGCGACCTTGCCGCTCTCTACCTCGGCGAGAATTTATCGTCCGCTCGCAGCGAACAGCCAGATTTTACGCGGCTCCCGCGGAAGGTCGTCTCGTCCATTCGTCGAGTCGCCTCGTCCCGGGGACGGCAGCACTTTTCGTCGGCCCTCGCAAACGAACAAACGTCAGCGGCGAGAAGTCGAGGGGCGCGGCACTGCCAGTCGTTCGGCGCGGAAAAATCCATTACGGCGAGCGGAACGCCGAGCGGGAGGTGAAAGTATGGACGTCTGCCGCTGGTCGCGAGAAACGACGAAGAATTATGCAAACGCGAGGAGGCACGCGGGCGAGCGCGGGCCGAGGCGCGTCCAGCCAGAATGAGGGGGTGGCTGGCCGCGCGGCGCCGACCTGCTTATTCGGAAGTCGGCGATCTTCGCAGCGGGACTGCGAGCGCGAGGCCGGACTTTCGCTCGGCGTGCGCGCGGAGCGTGCCGCGCGAGACCGCCGGCGCGGAGCCGAGCGTGAAAGCGTATCGAGGCCCCGCGCGCGGATGCGCCGCTCCGTTTTCTCTCCGCGCTGAGTTTTGCGGGCTTTTTGCCGCGGCTGCGCAAACAAACGGCAGGCGCTTTCACCGGCCGATCCGCTCGCAAAGCAAATCGAGAAAGTTATTATCGCCGGCGCGCTCGACTTTTCAATTAAAGCGTTCGACTGTCGAGCGATAATGCGCGGGCCTGGCCGAGAGCGAACGGCTGAGCCAGCAGCCTCGCAGCGAAGCGCTGTTTAATTCGCTTAATTAACAGATTTGGTTTTAGTAGATAAAAGGTCCGAGGGCGGGCCGCGAACAGAAGGTCTTGCGAAAGTCTTGCATACCTTTGCAAGTTTTTTGCTCCCTCGCTCCTCCGCTTTCTCGCGGCAGACTGCAGCTGATGGAATTTCAAAGCTTCGGTTAGCGGAGCTAGCCGCCCGTTTCTTACTTTCAAGGGGCAAAAATTCTTTTGGAATTTGCTTGCTCCGCCTTGCGCCTTGTTATCCCCCGTTGCTTTTTTTCTCGGCCTCTTCGTCAGCTATCCGATGCCGCGCGTGAATGCCTCTGTAAATTTATTATTGGAATTTTAAGGGTTTTCGCCAAAGTTTTCCGCGCTCGGCTCCGCCGCCATCCGAAGATTCGCGGCATGTCGACTGCGAAAAATCGCGAGCTTCGTCGTGCCCTCGTCGGCTCGCAGCGCTGCCTCGTCGCCGGGGCGTACATTGTCGAGACGAAAGCCAACGAGGGTGTGTCATTGCTCGAACGAGACGGCAGATCGTCGAGCACACTTTGCTCGGATTACCAAAGAGAATACAGCCCTGTCCCTTGTCGTGCGCCGCCGCTCTCCTCCTCTTCTCCTCTCCGCCTCGTCGCTGCGCGGCGGACGTCCTGCGGCTTTTTCCGAGCCCTCGGACTGCGCACTTGCCCAAATCGTCCGACACATTATCGCTCTGCTCTCCGCTTTTCCGTCGCCAGAAAAACTCGGCTCGCTCTCCGATTTCTCAAGTCATTTTCGCTCTGTTCGGAGAGCAGGGACACAACGCTCCGCGGGCTCCACTGGCAGGGCTGACAAAGAGGAGCGCAGGCAGCCCGACACCAAGCAGTCGGACGACGACTTCCGGGCGACCACGCACCGGCGTTCGGAGCAGTGGCGGCTAGGGCAGCAGCGAAACGCGCGGTAAATCGATCCTCGGTGAGGCAACGGTCGCGGCACAGCGGCCGGGCCGCGGATCGCGATTTTTGAACGCGCACGAGCAGCGGAGTAACGAGATGAGGGCTCGTGAAATTTCATAGCTAATCAGCGCGTGCGCGGCAGTACACGCATGCGGCAGGGCCGCGGAATTAGTTTGGTTTTCGGCCGGTCGGCGCGGCCATAATCCCATCTAGCCTCTCTCGGCTCGCGCGCTCCAGCGCTCCAGCGCTCAGCGCGCTTAATTTCCCTAACGGGCTTCGGAGACTGCCGAGAGAGAGAGAGAGGGAGCCCCATCGATCAATTATTGGCCGTTTCAGATTTCCTTGGGAAACGTTGATTTAAGCCAGGCGTCGCGGAATCATTGGCCGCGCCCGTAACGCTCAGTGCGCGCTCGTAAATATGGCATTGGCCACCCGATTCTCTACGAGAGCTGCAGCACTCTTCGGTAGAAGCCACTCTCTCTCTCTCTCTCCCTCTCTCTCGCGCGCGCGTGTTCTCGTTTGGCACGCTTCCACGCCTCATTTGGCCAAACTTACTGCGACACCCATTACCAAGTACATCGCGCCCGCGCCGCTCTTATTTACGCGTATAACGAGCTGCAGCCGCCAGCCCAGTTTCTCGCGGCTATCGTCCTCGACGAAGCCTCGGGCCGTTGACGTTGCACGCGTACGTGGCGCGCTTCGCCGCGCGCCGCCGAGCAACGCGGATATGTTTCGTTCGATCGAGCCGAATCGCAGATGTCGGACACACAAAGAAAAGGAGCTTCGGCGAGCTTGACGACGTCTATTTGCGAGAGCTTATTATTCGGCCGGAGTGTGCGCGCGCATCCTCGGCCGGCCTCGGCGAGCGTCGGGCGCGCTCGGCCGCGCGGGGGTGGTGGTGGCGGCGCCGAGCGCAGCCCTTTCGCTCCATTCGTGCTACGGCGCCCCGAGCGAGCGAGCGACCGAGTCGGCGAGCGCGCGCTGACTTCCGGAGCAGAGTCGCGAGACGGCCTCATCGACGAGTGCGATTCGTCGACGATTGCGCTACTTGCGCTGGCTGTCGTGCAGCTCGATAGCGAGCAGTCGCGGTGCAGTGCGCGCGGGGCAATGTGACAGGTGCCGAGTGAGCTAGCCGACCGCCACCGTCTACAAGCCGGAGCGTGTCAGCGCGCCGGAGAGTCGCTGCGCTGCTGCTGCTGCTACTGCTGCTGCTGTCGCCGCCGCCGGTGAGTCGGATCGTTTGTGCTTGCTCGGCCCAGTCATGTGGCAAGATTGCGGATGTGCCGTCGGATCCGGCTGCTGGCGTCGGCCGTCGGGTTCCGAGGACGCCGATGGCATTGCCGTTGACGTATGAGCGGCGCCGCTCGCGTAGCGCCTGCTCGCGAGCCCGCGGGCGGACGCCAGCCGCGAGATGGATGGCAATTCGGAGCGGCGCAACAGAGCGATTCCCTGCCGTCCACCTCCGCTGCAGCGAGTCCACGCTCTCTCGCTAAAGTTCCGCTTCGGCTGGCTGGCACGCGTTGCTCGACGAAAAATTGGCCGAGCGATCAGCCGTCGACGTTCGGCGGCCGAGCAGACGAAATTGCGTGGCGATCGGCCGGCACAAGCGCGAATAATCATCGTCGTGCTTTGTACTCGTCTGACCGTGGGCACGGCGAGCTATGCGCGGCCACGACCGAGACACGAGAATGAAAACTTAATTAAGTTTGTTCGCGACAGCAATGATCAGCGTTAATTGCTCGCATATGGTTGCGAATTATTTGGACCGGAGGCGGCATCACAGAAGCGCCGGCGGCTAATGCAGCGGCATTATTCAAATTCGCGAGAGACCATCGTTCGATGAGATTGCAATTACGCTCGCTGGAATTACTGAAATCACCGTCATTATGTATATACTCTCCGGGAGCAGCCGCAGCGGCGGCGGCGGCGGCGGCGGCGGCGGCGACGGCAGGGCGCGGAAGCGCTCGCAAAAATGTCTTCCCACGCAAAAATGCGGCCCCTTAATTATCAGCGCGCCAGCAGCCGGCGAAAAAGCGCTTCATTGTACGCGTAACTGGAAAATTGCCGGCCGACGAAAACGGACAAAAGAATTTTCGCGCTCCAAATGCGTTGTTATTAATTAAAGTGGCTCTCCCAAGAATAAAGAACGAGCGCTTTTATGAGCGAGGAGGGAGGCGGGAAGGGAGGTGCTGGGCTCTTTGTTATTCGGCACAAGACGCTGAATAAACATGAGGCGAGGAGAGATTGCATCGGGGATTTGGCCAGAACTGGCAGCTCGAACGGCGTGTCGTTGGCCTACGAGCAATCGAGCGCGCGCTATCAGCGAGGCAGAGCCAGAAGAGCTGCCGGCAGGGAAGAGCGCGGCTCATCTGACTGGAAGGCCGAGGCGTGCGAAATGCCGGGATCGCGCGGCCGGGGCTGGGAGTGGACGACAAACATCGGGCGTTGCTGCAGCGCGCCGCCACCGTCTCCGACGGCAAAGCTGCTCTCGGCCTCCTTCTCTCGCTGCAGTCCCGTCGGCTCGGCTCTTCTCCGCGGACACTGCGTCTCGAGTCCGCGGCTCGCAGCGAGTCAGCGTCCATCGTCGTCCGAATTGCTCGGCCCGCGGCCCTCGCGTCCAATGTTTATCCGCAGTCCTGAGCTTTTTCATTAGAAGCGCCCTGTCGCGCTTTCGTCGCGGCTGCAATGTTTCATTCGGTGCGCTGACCGTCGACGGGCTCGCGGCCCCCGTATTTTTTCATCCCACCGCCTGGTGAAAATTGACATTTTTAATCAGGGAATGCAGCGAGACGGCGAGAGGGATGTCGGCTTATTTGCGCGCCTCCTCGCAGGGTAAATAAAGCGGGCGCGCAGCCGCGAGTATTTTCAATATTATGAGAGAGGCGCTCTGCTTCGCCGCGGCTTCGACGAACGCTGCCGATGATATTTTCATTAATAATTTGAAAGTCTTTTCCCCGGGGACGAGGATTTCTCGATTTTCATCCGACAGCCGCTCGGCACGTAGGCGTGCCATCGGGGAAAACAAGGCTTTGCCGGCGCATAATGCGAAATGGGACGAGGCATTAGCTTGCCCCCCGCCTCCCACTCCCGTCGTCGTCGTCGTCGTCTCTCTCTCTCTCTCTCTCTCTCTCTCTCTCTCTCTCTCTCTCTCTCTCTCTCTCTCTCTCTCTCTCTCTCTTTGTACGCGTGTGTGCATCTCCGTGAAAGGATTTTAATATCAAATTCCAGGCGTTCCCGACTCGCTCTCTCGCTCTGTCTTTTCTTTCTCGCGAGGCGACAAGCAAAGCTTGCGAGCGCAGCCAGGCAGCTTTCGCACATATTACGCCGAGTCGCGATCTCCAGGTTTCCCATTCTTCGACGTCACACGCTCGATTAGTCCTCGATATAACCCAAATCCTCGACCACGTACACCGAGGACACTGCTCGTAGATCGACGGCGAACTGTCGTTTGGCGCACACCCGGCTATCTCTTACGCAAGCCGACCGCCGAGTATTTATCGGTCGCTTACTGGAATCGACCGCAACACGTGCTGCACATTTCCGTTGCGCGCGCGCGCCGAACGAGGAACAAAGATTATCTTCGGGAAGGTCGGGAAGCCTGGTGCTGCTCGTTTGGAAGGGAACGGCCGAGGCAGCGCTTGCTCAGCAGGATGCTGCCGAAGCCGCGATCCTCCTCGCCACAGACTGCACTAGTGATGCAGGCACTCGCCCCATCCGTAGCCTGCTTATCTTACGGGACAAGGACGAGAACTCGCGGTCGGGTATCGATGGACAGGATGATCCGCGATCCCACAAAGAGCCAAGAGGCGAGTTTGACTGTTTGCGCAGCTGGAAAAAGCGAGAGGTTGGGGACAGCTCTGGAATCCGAGCTAATTATTCAACGCGCGGCCTTTGAGCGAGACGTTAAATAGCGCAGAGACGAGGTCATAATCCCAGCTATAACAATTCTTGCGAGCTCGTTAACAGGTGGTTAGAGCTGCGTATTTCCCCGGGGCGCCGTCGTCTTCGTCGTCACCGCCTTCCTTTGAGGATCGGAAGCTAGGCACGCCACGGTTACGCGTTTACTCGGGCAGCGTTATTTGCAGAGCGAAACTCCTCGCGTGCCGGCCAATTATATCATCGAGTGATCGTCGGCGCGCACGTTTGCTGCTCTGTCAGCCCGCCGAGCTGCGCCCTTTGCATTCTCATGTTTTCGCTGGAGCCGCGGCGTTGTTGAGCACGAACAGCAGAAAAACAACGAGGGCACTAGTGCGAAGTCGCGTACGAGCGGCCGTTGTATATTCGTGTTATCGTCGTTCTTTTTGGCGCTCGTTAGCCGGCGACAGGCGCTGCTTTTTTTGTCGAGCGCCGCGGTCGAGCGCCGATGCTTTGCGGGCCGCGGCCAAACAACGAGGTCTCGTGGTCACACGCAAAGTAGGTTTCTGTGTTGGGGCTCGCGGGTATTAGGGCTCGACGGATGCAGCTGCGAGGTGCGAGCTTACGACCCCCGCCGATAAAAATCGCGGACCGGCGGGAGGGGCGGGGGCGCTCGAGGAGGCCGCAGGCACGCCTGAAAGCCGCGAGGCGCGTTTTGACTTTGATCGCGCCAGGCAATTCCGAATCCAGGCCAAATTCACTTATCCGCGGTGGCTTTGTCGCCGCCGCCCGGCGTCGAGCCACGTCGCCGAGTGCGTCTCGATCGCGCGCTTTTACGCCGGACGAAGCTTTTATCCTTGGAGCGATACACTTTGCTCCCGTTCGGCGGCTTTCAAAAGAAATGGTCCCTCGCTCCGTGCCTAGCGACGGCGGATTTCTGCCGATGAACTTACTATTAGGAGTGGCTCGGCGATATAACGCGATAAAAGTCTCTCCGCGCACCAGAGGCGCCGCTACTCGGAGTGCAGGGATGAAAGGCCGCGCCGAGGCCTAACTTGGGTGTTATTTATTTGTTTATTTATCCGCGGCGCGGCTCGACCGGCGCTGGAACTCCCCATCCGCTTACAGCTCGGCCGTCTGCCGAGGCACCGCCTAGGACGTCGCACGTTTTTCGGGTTCGAGCTCGCCGCGCGTCTCACTTGACTGGGAGAAGTTGATTCGCGCCCCGCGGAATATAGTTTCGCTCGACTGCGGCCTCGGACTTTCCTTCGCGGGTCGCCGCCTCGTACCATTGTCGCTGCGTCTCGGGCTTCGGCGACCGACGTCTCGCAAATCTCGCCACTCCGTCAGCCTCGGCTTGGCGAGATTGGGCTTTGACTTTAGCGGACGTCCGGCAAAATTGGCCCGTCCTTGCTCTCGTCTTGGTCTGTTGCCACATGCCACACGCAGCGGAGACGGCGGCGGCGGCGGCGGCGGCAGCGATGCCGACTAGGGGCGTCCCAGAGAGCTTGAATCTACACGTCTGAGCAAATTCCAGATTACTGTACGGCTCGGATAACATTTACATATGGCATACATTTGCCGCCGTGGCATTCTGCCCCATATAGCGCTAGCCGCGTAACTTGCCACTTGAGTCTCTACCGACTCGACCCTCCTCCTCGCACGCCATTCTCGATTCTTGTTTATCGCGTTTGCCAAGCAAACGCAGCTGTCTCGTCCTGGAGGAGTGAGTTGCTCACTGACAGCTGGTTGTCGCGCAAATGGCCTGCAAAATTTGCCCCTGAAGCGCGAGAGAAAGAGCGCGCCGCCCGACTGCTGTATTTGCATTTGAAATTGGAATGAACCCTTGGATAAAAGACCACTCGTCGGCGAAAACGCATTTCCCTTCCCCGACGCTCTCGCTTTTTCCTCGCCTACTGCTCTCTTTACTCGCAGCTCTGACCTGAATTTAGATTTTATGTACATATTCAGCTGCATACCTACTGCCCGATCGTTATTTGCATAACAACGAATTTCCGCTCGAATTAATGATCCGCCCCCCTCCTCGCCTCTCTCACTCTCTCTCTCTCTCTCTCTCTCTCTCTCTCTCTCTCTCTCTCTCTCTCTCTCTCTCTCTCTCTCTCTCTCTCTCTCTCTCTCTCTCTCTCTCTCTCTCTCTTTCGCTCGCTCCTTCACTCGGTGACGCTTCTTTTTGGCCCGATTCCGCGCGCGTTTTCCCATTGAATATCAATGAATTACGAATAAAGTCGACGCGCCCATTCACGTATCTGTCGCTGGCCGCGCGGAACAGTTGTACTTTGAACAAACGGCCCGCAGCGGAGCAGGTTGCCGCGCAGTAGCGCAAAGTTGCCTCGGTGGTGCATTGACTTTT